TTTTTTTTTTTTTTTTTTTTTTTTTTAAGTCAGAATCTCACACTGTCACCCAGGCTGGAGTGCAGTGGCATTCTCACAGCCACTGCAGCGTCAACTTGCTGAGCTTAGGCAGTCCTTCCACCTCAGCCTTCCAGGTAGCCAGAACTACAGGCGCACACTCCCACACCCGCCTATTTTTTCTACTTATTGTAGAGGTGAGGTCTTGCCAAGTTGCGCAGGCTGTTCTCAAACCCGTGGGCTCAGGCAATCCTCTCACCTCAACCTCCCAAAGTGATAGGATTACAGGCTTGAGCCACCACATCCAGACCACATTTTTTTAAATTACCAAACTAATACATGCTCATTACAAAAGAATGCAAACAGCACATAATTATATAAAGTTAAAATACCTACCATCTTTTACAAATGTTAGCATATTTTAATTGGACATGTCTTTAGTCAACAATATAAAAACTATTTGGGAACATTCTTTCTAATATAAAATTAATAGTACAGCATGATACTCATTTCAGATAGCTAAAGCTGGTACATACATTTATCCAACAGATATTTCTTAAGTTTCTTCCATGTGCAGGCACTTAAGATGGTACTAGGGGAACAGCAATGAACAAAATATAATCAATTTGCTTAGTTAATATGTTATTAGAGGTTATAACCCATAACATATTTTGGATGTTTGGGATTGCTTTGGGACTGTCTTTCTTGTCATTAGTCTGGGCTCAGAAAATAAAAACTAATTTTATTATGACCCAAAATAAAATAATGGAAGGTAGATCCCCTGAGTAGAAGATGATAACCCATAACAGAATCACATACAGCTGTTTTATCTGTTTTCTACTGCTCTCCATTTGTTTGAAAAATAAACACTTGGCTGTCTTTGGGGACCAGGAAAAAATACTTAAAATTTAGTTATCCATGGAAAGCAAAATTATGTTCATATAGTCACTAGTTATGGTAAATGGCATCTATAATGCTAGGCCTCCTGTGGCATGAAGCAGGATGAAACTTGACTGTCTCCAGTAAAGAAAATATTATTCAAAGACCTGAAAAAGAGGGAGGAAGCACAGGTTCTCAGAAACAATTGATTCATTCAGTTAAATGGGTACTTAGGTTGTATCATAAATAGACAAAGCCCCGTGCTTCTGTGGAGCTGTCTTTCTGTCTGTGGGTTTAGGGGAATATGTGGGGGAGACATGGGGAGAAGAAGGGAAAAAAACAAGTAAATTATTTGATGTGTTACAAAGTTGGATGTACTATGGGAAAAAAATAATAGAACTGGCTGAGCTGGATCCAGAGTGCTGACAGGGCCTGCGGTGGGTGGGAAGAGGCTGGGTCACAGGATTAAACAAGACGGTCGAGGTCAGCCTCATCAAGGAAATGAGGGTTAAGCAGAGGCTTGAAGGCACATGAGCATGCAAGGCAGAGGGGCAGGAGCAGAGCAGAGCCTGGAGGTGGGGTGTATCTGGTCCATTCCAGGAGGAGCGCAGGCTGCAGGAAGAGTGGTGGGACAGATCAGGTGGGACTGTGGTGCCATAGGAATGGCAGTGGCTTTTGCTCTGGGTGAAATGGAGAGCCATTTGCAGTGCTGTGAACAGAGGAGTGATGTGATCCGACATATATTTTAGGAGAATTACTCTAGCTGTGCTGTTGAGAATCGTTTGGGAGTATTTGTAGCTAATCTCAAAGAAGTCTGCTGTATACTGTCCATCAGAATCATGGAATGAAACATCATACTCTTTAAAACCAATCTCTTTGAAAACAGCCTAGAGAGTTAAAAATTGGGCTCAGCAAACCCCTCTCTCACTTTTTTTGTTTTTAGAGACAATGTCTTGCTCTGTTGCCCAGCTCTCTGTAGCCTCGAACTCCTGGGTTCAAGCAATCCTCCTACCTCAGCCTCCCTAGTATTCTGGGACTACGGGCTGGGACCACAGGCGTGAGCCACCTCACCCAGTCACCCCTCCCTTACATTAAATCATACACCATTATTAGCCATGCTTTACAGATGAGAAAGCAAAGATGCAAAAAGGTAAGGTCACTTGTTCAAGGTGACAGAGCTAGTACATGGTGGAGGTGTGATTTGAACCCAGGTTCAAATGGGTTCCAGAGCTTACGTGCCTAAACACTGCCATTCTTTCGGTATTTGTTCTTAAAATATAGGCATTTTTACGTCATATGGGCAGTCTTTGACTTCTGCACTGTCCACATACTTACGTAGACCTGGCTGCCTTGATTCCTATAGTGTCTGTCTTCGGACTTGGCTTCCTTCTACCTGAGTCCTTCCCCTGCAGCCTTTTCGTATGGGTTACCTGCTGCAGCTTCCTCCATACCACTGCTCATTCCTAGGAGATGCTAATTCCTGGAGCAGGCAGGGTCTTTGTGCGGCTGTTGAAGCTTGTACCCACTTCCTGCTCCTTTGTGTGTAGTCTTAAGTGTTGCAGGGAAATCTGGGGTCAATATTAATGTTGCATCATACTTAGGTTTCATGGGCTGGCCTGGGAATTTAAATGCACCTGTGACATTGTTTCTGTTGGGGGAAACAGAAATCAGTTTTTGGGACACACCTCGTCTGTGTGGGGACCCCTGTACTTTCTGTTCACCAAGTTGAGCACAGTCTGTAAAGTCAAGAAATGATGGACAGAATGACCTAAGAGAACAGTGCTAGATGTTGTACTTTTCCAGTCTGGTAAAAATCACTGGTTAATTATTTTTTCTTTCATCAGAGATGAGCATCAGGATTTTAAGGATGAGCAAATGCGTCTAAAGAAGCTCCGTGGAAAGGGGAAACCAAGGAAAGGAGAAGGGAAAAGAGCAGCAAAAAAGAAATAGTGTTGGCCCATCAAGAGCGAAGATGTCTTCAGTGGTGACAGAAGGAAGCATATTCGTTGTCTTTCCATGTAAGGGAGGAATGTGTTTCCCTAAATGAAGGTTATTTGAAGCACACCACCATCTCCGTGTTCAAGACTAATCCAGTTAAATTGTGACTGGCCTCCTCAACATAGTCTAACTACACAAAAGTATTTTGGCCTTAGCTTTGTAACCGGAGGCTTACCTGGCTCTCTGATGAAATGAATACATAAATTATCGTTTAAATGACTTGTGGGGGGGTGGGATGGTGGGGGAGTGGAGAGGATACCTAACTAAGAGAGTATCCTGTAGTTTCCTCATTATTCCCTTCTTGCTTCCCCCCAGACTTCTCTCATCTCTCAGGCCCTTCAGCCACTGTCTCCACCACCAAGCTCACAAACTTTCTGTGCCTCTCCACATGCTCCTTTAAGAAGTCTATAAGATCTGTTTGTGGGATCAAAGGCTGTACCTGAAAGAGAGCATTGAATACCTACTGTACAAAGTCCTGGGGCCCTGGTAATAAAGCAGAAGGAACAATCCCTACATGTAACTTTCAGTCTTGTAGGAGAGACTACTATTATATAGTTACATACAATTGCATTAAATGTTACCAAGGAAAAAGCCACATACAAGAATGTAGGTGGATGGATAGATGGATCTAAAGAGCCAGAGGCCCAAATCTCGTTAGAGTTTAAAGAAGGCCTCCATAAAGAAATATTTAAGCTGAACCCTGAAGGATAAATAAAAGTCAAGAAAAATGGTGAGAGAGGTGGTTTAGGCAGAGAGGATGCTATTTGCCCAACCCTAAGGTAAGACAAAATTGTCCTGTACAAAGAATTGAAAAAAGACCAGTGATTAATTCATGATTGGCCATAAAAAAATAGAGACTAGGTCTTGAAGGGCTTCACAAGTTCTGTGAAAAGTTTGAACATAACCAGAGGTCAGCGTGTATATGGTGTTTTTTCTGAGAGGTGTCTTGTGTAGATCTGAGTAGCTAGCTGCTGATTTTATCATATTCTAGTAGTGAGTTTCCAAAGAGCTTGTAAGACTTCTCTGATTATTTTTTTCAAGAGTTGTTCTGAATCTTTAGTATGGCCCAGTAAATGCTTTAAGTACTTTTTTTTATTATTGTGATTAAAAAAAAGCAAAAATTGCAGTCAATCATTTTTAAGTGTACAGTACAGTAGTATTAGCTCTGTGCTAATTGTGCTAAGGTACTTTTTAAAAAAATTTTATTCATAAAGGACTTTTTTTAATGTGTTTTATTATAGAGATGTGAGGTACAAGTGAGGATTAACTTCATAAGTAGACTGCATACAGGTGAAGTTTGGACTTCTAACTGGCCCTCACTTCCCCTGGTACCTTTCATGTTGTTACATGCCCCCCAGCATCCTGCCTCTCTCCCTCCCTTCACCTCCCCCTCCCACCCCCAGCAGTACCCAGCAACTGCCAGTCTCTCTCTTGTGCTAATGTGATTAATGCTTAAGGCCCACTTATGAGTCAGAACATGGGGTATTGGGTTGTTTCTCTGATAGTTCACTTAGTATGATGTTCTCTAACTCCATCCAATTTGCTGCAAAGTCCATGATTGTGTTCCTTATGGCTGCATCTGAAGTGCTTTTTCACCCTGGTTTCTACCTCCCTCAGGTGAAAAGAGCGCAGTGCATGGGCAGGAGTATGCGTAGCCACTACTCCAGCTGTCATTTCATCTTTCTGCAACACTGAATGATTCCTGAACTAGAAAGAATCCCAGTACATATGTTTAGACAAATGATATTTTTAAAGATATGTAATCCAGATGGTATGGCTAGGGCCTATTTTATAGCTTGTAAAAAAAAAAAAGACTAAAATTGGGTGGTTTGTATCTGATAGAAGTGAATTCCGGCAGAAGGCTGAGAATCCATTCACTGAGAACTCTTCACTGAGCACCTGCCATGTGTCTGCACATGATAGTTGTAGAGGATACAGAGACAAATCAACTTAGCCCCTAAGACTTTGTGAATGAGCATGTGTGTGTTATAAAGTGTTGGCAGGATCTCAGAAATTGGCTTAGAAAAGTGCAGATGCACTGTTATTCTTAGCCAGTGCAGCTGAGCCACGTGTAGGTGGGTTAGATTACCCCAGGATACTGGGCTGAGAAACAGACTGTCAGCCTGAACCCAGTGTAGCTAAGTAAATTTTCTGAATTATGTGATCTCCAACTTTCCGAGAAGGCCAGAATGTAAGAGGAACTTAGGAGAATTAGCATGATATTTTAAAGAGAATAACCACATTAAATACTAACAGCAGCCTGAGTCAGAAAACAGAGTCAATATATTGGTTAACTGGCAGAAGAACTTCAGTGAGATCCTGGCCCCTGAGCCAGCACCAATGGTGGATGGGGAATTTTGTAGGTAACACAGTAGTAAATTAGTATGCCATTAGTCCAGGTGAAAATCAAAAATTAAAACAAATATATTTGTACACAGGATGTACATTCAGGCCAGGCATAGTGGGTTCATGCCTGTAATCCCAGCACTTTGGGAAGCAGAGGTGAGAGGATTACCTGAGCCCAGGGGTGGGAGACCAGTCTGGGCAAGTTGGCAAGACTTTGTCTCTGTAATAAATCAAAAATTAGCTGGGTGTGGTGATACACCTGTAGTTCCAGCTACTTGGAAGGCTGAGACGGAAGGATTGCTTGAGCCCAATAGGTCGAGGTTGCAGTGGCCATGAGCGTGCCAATGCACTCCAGCCTGGGCAACAAAGTGAGACTCTGACTCAAAAAAAAAAGATGTACATTCGAACCAACTGATAGAGCAAGCTGTGTGACTCAAACAACCTGAACCGAACTGTGATGGACCAGCTGAAAAGTAGAGTATAAGGAGAGTTAGCCGGGCTTGGCTCAGCCTGTAATCCCACGCCTTTGGGAGGCTGAGGTGAGTGGATTGCCTGAGCCCACGGGTTCAAGACCCACCTGGGCAACTTGGCGAGACCTCATCTCTACAATAAATCAAAAATCAGCCGGGCATGGTATTGCGCGCCTATAATTCCGGCTACTTGGAAGGCTGAGGCAGAAGGATCGCCGGAGCCCAGCAGGTCAAGGCTGCAGTGGCCAGGAGCGGCCACTGCACTCCAATCTGGGTGACAGTGAGACTCCAACTCAAAAAAAGAAAAAAAAAAGGAGAATTAACTCTTGACACCTTGGAAGTCAACGAATTTCAGGACCAGTGTCCAAGAGTTAAGATGAGGACTAAGTCTAATTAGAAAAAAAATCACTATCTATACATTTAGACTAACCAGATTGTTTAATTGGATTTCTCTGGTCAAGACCTAAACTATTGGTGCTTTCCCTCTAATGTTTGAAGTTTAGTGTGCATGGATAATTTTTGCCTTGATCTCAGTATGGCATAGTAAAAAGAGACTGTTGGATTCAAAAGTACTGGATTTGTGACATCATTTATTACTGGCCACATAACCTTAAGTCGCCTTCTCTGAACCTCTTTCCTCTATAAAGTCATAATAATACATCATTGGATTAGCTAAGATATTTGTGAAAAGCACTACATAAATTATAAAAGGTTAAACATTTTTATATATGGTGCTTTGTGTGACTAGTAGGAATTGCTACATCTTACTAGCAGATTTTTCTAAGACAATGTTGACAAATATCTGCTAAAAAATATAAAGTTCTCCACATTTGCATACAATGTGATAGGTTCAGGAAGAGGAGATAGGTGGGAAATGCATCTTACTAAATATGTAGTTATGTATTTATTTTGTTATTTATCCAGCAATTTATTTTGTTAAAAGCATCATAATAAAGCATTATGTATAAACATAATAATGCTTTTATTTATGAAGCATCTTCCAAGAAAGAATATCAAAATTTGAAATTCTACCCACTTCACTCTCCCTTTTTCCTCACACATGTCCTCCAAAGCTCCCATGTGCCTAGTTTAGAGATTTAGGGCAGAAAACAAACTTCAAGAGCAATAGATAGGAGGAAATGTCTTTTAACCTACCAACCCTGTTTTCATAGCTTTTAAGTACTCAAGAAAATTTCAGAAGAAAGTATTTCTTGACAAAAAAAAAACTGAGACCAGGCTCGGTGGCTCAGCATGTAACCCGAGCACTTTGGAAGGCAAAGGCAAGTGGATTGCCTGAGCCCGCAGGTTCGAGACCAGCCCAGGCAACTTGATAAGACCTGGTCTCTACAATAAATAAAGAATTAGCCAGGTGTGGTAGTGCACGCCTGTAGTTCCAGCTATTTGGAAGGCTGAGGCAGAAGGATCACCAGAGCCCAGCAGGTCGACGCTGGGGTGGCCGAAAGTGTGGCCTGGGTGACAAGAGTGAAACTCCAACTTCAAAAAAAAAAAAACTGAGATCAGCAAAACAGTAATACATTCAAGAAGACAGAACAAACAACCTATCCTGGACGTTGAAATAATGGGGGGGGGGGAGTGAAACATTTATGGTAAACTTAAAGTGAAATGTATTTAAATGACATAAAGGCAGCAGTATGGAGAGAGGGGTCATGAAACTACCCAGATGCCATTTTCTAACTTAATTGGCAGTCTGGCAATATTACAGGTTCGTATTAAAGTAGAAACTAGAGTTAATAACAGGTAGATCCTAAGATCTTTTTTATTCTACTTAGATGTGTGTATTCTGAGAGGGCAGGCTCGATTCTGGAGAGCTCTCCGTGCATCTGGTGCCAAAGGCTGAGTTCCTCCTAAGATTGTCTCAGTACAACTATCAATTCTCTTCCCTTCCCAAAAAGCTACAAAATTATTGATTGAACCATTGAGTTTAACATAAAAATCAACATTCAGAACCAAAATTGAAAGTCTTGGAGAGGATACCGGTTAATCTAAAAAGAACTCCAGTCTGTATCTACAGGGAAATGGCCAGTGCGTTAAGCACCAAACTAGTGAGACAGGAGATAGCTAGAGAAAGGCTAGGCAGGCAGGCAGACAGGCGGATCCTCTGGTGACTCAGCCTGTAATCCGGCGCCTTTGGGAGGCTGAGGTGAGTGGATTGCCTGAGCCCGCGGGTTCGAGACCCGCCTGAGCAGCGAGACCTCATCTCTACAATAAATCAAAAAATCAGCTGGGTGTGGTATTGCGCGCCTGTAATTCCGGCTACTCAGAAGGCTGAGGTGGAAGGATCACCGGAGCCCAGCAGGCCGAGGCTGCGGTGGCCAGAGCGGCCACTGCACTCCAGTCTGGGTGACAGAGTGAGACTCCAACTCAAACAAAAAACAAGAAACAATGTAGCAAACTCCTGCAGGCCTCTCAGGCTCGGCATTGGTAAATAAGCTCCCTGTGAGTCTCTGAAGCTAGAGCTTAAGTACTCATTGCTGGGATCAAAAAGCAACCAATCAACTTACCATTAGGCCCCTACCCCCTACCAATTGGTCCTTAATACTAACCAATCAGAACAGCAACTGCTCACAGCTAGTGCTAGCCTGTCAGGTCAGTCTTAGGGCTATATAAGCACCAGGTTTTCTGCCCCACACGGGCAACCCCTTTGGGTACCCTCTCACTGTGGGCGCTTCTCTGTCCTCTCAAT